ATGCGCCGCTCGAGCCGCTTCACTTCTACCACAAACGTCCGAGGTTCGGAGCCGAGAAACGCGGTCGGCCTCGCATCCGTCTCCGTTTCGTTTCCGTTGTCCTCGACAGTTTCCGGCGCGTCAGCGGTCCGGGGCACGAACTCTTCCAACTCCGCGTCAGACGTCTTCTCTCCGGATTGATCTTTAGGCGTATTTTCAGCATCAGGAGTTTCATCGGCAGCGCTGTCCGTTATCTTTGCTATCTCGCTAGTTTTCACTTCCGCCAATGAGCAGTCGTCGTTAGCGTTCTCGGTGTCGCGAGTGGCGATAGTGGGCTTCGTAGAGGCCGCGGGAAAGTCAGGAGGAACGGGAGCGGGAGAGAAAAGTCCCTCACTTCGCTGCACTTCACGACGTATGGGCTTCGGGCTGCGCAGGGCGAGGGGGATGCGCGACTTTTTAAAGTCGGGCCGGTCGTTGGCGACGTCGCGCCGCGTCGCTCGCGGACTCGCCACGGGACTTTCCAATCGCCGTTTGATCGTGTCAGTGACGCATTCGTACTGCCCTCCGGCCGTCTGCAACCGTAAACTGCGCGCTGTAGTCCTTCGATGTGCTCCGTGTTACGTGTTAGTCCGCGATGAGGTGATACAAGCGTGACACCAAGCTCCATTTCACACCACACGTCTATATGTACATACTTATTTTATTACCCACACCACAGCTTTCACGTACATGTATTTACAGTGATTCGTTGATTGATTTCACCCAATGAACGTGGCGGTTTCTGAACACGGTCGGCCGAATAGCCTTCGTTTCGCGTTAAGCGGATGTTTATGCTTATGACTGAGGTGATGACGACACAACACGTGTGACGGTACAAACTCACAGGTTGAAATAACTGAACGACATGATCACAGAAGACACACCTCGCATGAACACCAGAGAATAAACAAACGAAAATTTCTGTCCGATATTAGCTAAAACTACGTCTTGGAACGCATAATGCAATCTCATAATGAACATGTTCAGTACAACATCGACTGTGTCCGTCACAGTCCGTCAGATAAAATGCCGGTTCCGGTTCAGCGCGTGCGACAATGCGCGACACGGCCAAACCGGGTACCAATGCACTTTATACGAGTAAGTACAGAAGCTGATCAATTAATTACCAAGTGGACATTTACTAACTAATCTAACCGTTAACTACAATGGTTAGCCGTGTTGTCCCGCAACAGCAACTATAAACCAATCGTCTAGTGGAACTGCATAGCCCGACGACAGAAAAAAGCTGTGTGTACTACAACATTATAGAATGTAGTTTAGGTTATCAACTGATAACTGAGTTGATGGCGTGTGCGCATTCTCATAACATTTGTGAATTATTGAGTATTTGTAGAATGCTTTATTGTGGATGACTACATTTTAATTCAATGATCAGTAATAAGGTCAACGTCGTGATAGTTGGATATATTTTGTGTGCAACTCAAGGAGACGTCTGTATTTTTTTAATTAGTTAGGTTGTTAGTTGTGCGCTGTGAGTAGCGAAGGTTGTGAAACATTAAACGATGCCAAAATAAATGAATGATATGGCTGATACGATAAGAAGCGAAAGGTGTTGCGATTCAGGAAGCAAACGTAAAGTGCGACTCGAGGAGTTAGGCATTTGATGGTATCGAAACTGTTTGGTTTGAAGAGGTTAGCGCATTCGTCGAAAATTTTATTCAAGATTAGTATTTTGATCAATAAGACTGATGATTGAAACTCATGGTATTAAAATGTTTTAGATAAAATAAACTGTAAAATGTTATTGAATCCTTCTCAGATTAATAAGAAAGGTTGCACAAAAAAGAATCAGTTTCCTTTTGGAGCATCGTTAGATACAACTTTCAAGATTCAGCAATGTTAAAGGGCCAATGCACGTTAACGTTTCCTCTAGTTTCAAGACGAGAGCTACCAAAATGCAGAATTACCGTCGTTATAAATCCAAAATACTTCGGAAATGTACTTCGTGATTTGTGCTTCAACAAAAAAATTTGAACGGACGTTGCGGCACAAGTAGGGAGTGTAATTTTTAGTAACGAAATAAATTTTAAATAAAACGTGCCATAGGGAGTCACGACACCAGTGAACGCGGAATCGGCTCGAGATGTAACAAGAGTGAAAACTATCTCGCGCTTGATGCGATTCCGCGTCGAGCGAGCGGTGTGGTGACTTCGAAGGCGGCTACCGCTCTAAGCCAGGCCTCGCGCGGGCGCGTCTGACGCGCTCTAGCCTCGCGTAACGGTATCGCGTGGCGGCGGAGCAATCGCCCGGCTACAATCGACGCCTGCGCGAACGGCGGGCGAGGCGAGACGTTCTGGCCGAGACGACGGAGAGGGTCGGCCGGCTAACCTCGGGGTGCCCGTCGGGCGCGGGCGGCGGCGACGCGGCGGGCGGCGGGGAGGGGGGCGAGCGCCGGCGCAGCCGCTCCCAGCGCGCGTTGACCCGCGCCACCTGCGCGCGCAGCGAGTCCGGCGGCGCGCCGTTGCACGCGCGCGCCAGGTCCTCGAAGGCCGCGTTGAGCTTGTCGCGCAGGCCCTCCATGCGGGACATCTCCAGCTCCAGCGTCTGCCGCGGCGGCCGCGCCGCCAGCGAGTCCAGCCAGCCGGCCAGCGCCTGCAGGTCGGCGTGCATCTCGCGCGACGCCACGAGCGCGCCCTCCAGGCGGCCCTTGGCGTCGGTGACGCGCGCGCCCAGCCGGTTGTACAGCTCCTTCAGCGCGTCGACGCGGGCCGACAGCGCCGCCCCCCGCGGCCCGCCCGCCCCCGCGCGCTCCGCCGCGCGGCGCCCGCTGCGGATCGCGCCCTCCACCTCCGCCTTCAGCTCGCTCAGCGTGCGGTACAGCCTCTGCGCGCACAGAACGCGTCGAGTCAATTGGGCGCTCACCGGGATCCACGACTAGATCACTTCGCGCCCCGCAAACGCGACCGGCCGCTTCCGACTCCCGATGCCCGGGCGCTGCCGAGCGCAAAAATCACAATGCGTCTCCGCAGAGACACGTCCCTCGGGCCGTATCCGTATCAAACGTATAGAAAAACCTAGCCTAACGACGAACAGTGTACTACTACGTTTTTGCCGTTTACAATCTACTTTAGTAGTTTAATTAATTTAAAGGACGATGACAAACTTTCATATAAATTTTGTTGACATAATTTGTCTGCGTCTTTTTATTAAAAAAATTGCGGAAATATAAAGTTGAAATTCCTGATCAAATTTCGATTCGGGTTTACTATTCCGAGAAGTCAGTAATTAAAGATATTCCAGTTTAAAGTTTTACGTAACCGCTGGTAATTGTAAAGGCTGAGTGAAGAAATAGATTTCTCATTCAACATTACAACCTAAATCCCGTTTTAAATATGAAAAAAACGTAGAATAATTAAGAAACTGTCACCACAATCATAATGTACATAGTTAAACTCAAATTTCATTGCGTGCCGGACAAAGTGCACTCTGCGCTCGCGCTCTAAATATGTGTCGAGCAGCATTAAGTCTGACTTCTCCTCTCATGTGTAACGTAGTGATGTGTACAGATAATTATGGATTTATCGACTATTTTTTTATGAATCTTGAAGACATATTATTTTGAAATAAATGAAAAAGTATTATTGTTATTGTAAGGCTTTTAGTAATGAATCCTAATAGCCGGTGAAATAGAACATTAAAATTAGTTTTTAAAGTTAATTTTACCGTCTTGTTAAGCCTATTATTTGGTATTTGTATGTGTGCGTACCTACCGGCTTTTATTTATACTACGTACGTATTAAAATATAATAATATTGCGTTTTATTCTTTTTTACCTGTATGAATATAATAAATATCAATACCGATAGATTTCAACAAAATATTTACGTTAGTTCGCTATGCACTCTACCACACACGTAATGGGCCGAGTTTGTCAAAAAGATGACACGCTTCATAACTTTAAAAAGCATCGTCGCCGTTTTATCTAAATTTATTTCTGTGTGCACAATAAAGGTTAGTTGCGATAGATACATCATAACAATGGCTACGAGGGAACGCCTACTTCGCTTTTCCGCTAGTTTGTTACTCCGTGATTAAATGACATTGGGTAAATTAGGCACGTTAACCACTGCGGTCTGGCCAGATTCTAGTTAAAAATTAGCGTCGAAGGGTAAGAATTTAATACAGACAGGCGGCTGTCGCTCCTGGCCTCGCGGCTCGGATCCGCACATACGGAGTCATTAGTCGCGGCGTGATCGTAAGTTAGACACTCTGTCAGCGAGTCGCGTATTTTTTAATGCACATGTACGGTCCGCATCGAAACGTTTCTTCGTTTATGATTAAGACTACATCTTGCGGCGTTCGGAACCTAGGATTGATAACGCCCGACTCCGGCACTTCTCGCGTCCGTCGGCGAGTGGCGGCGCACTGTTGCGCATCGGGGTCGCCGCTGAGCGCACGGCTCGCTGCGCGGCGGGTCGCGTGCGAGAGCGACTTCTCGTGGCGTTATTCTCGAGCGAGTCCCGGGCCCCTCTCGTCTACGGACGCGGGTCGTGCCACTCCGTGCACCGCGGCTGCAGCGGCGCTCCAACGGGGCGCCGACACTCACCAGGCAGTGGCGCAGCTGGTGGCGCACGGCGTCGGGCTCGGCGCCGGCCGCGGGCGGCAGCGCGGCCTCCGCGCCCGCCGACACCTCGAGCAGCGCGTGCGCCGCGCGCGCCAGTCGCGCCTCCAGCGCCGCCTCCTCCTCCGCCGCGGTCGCCGCGCCCGCTGTTCGCATGGCGCCCTCATCACTTCGAGCACTTTCGAACGTTGCCGTTTCGACGCGCTTCGTTCCTCGAGAAACTAATGTTTTTAACACTTTTTTACTACTGCGTTGATTTTTCGCATACCTACTCGTATTTGTTTTTTTACATTCGGCGCCAAAATCACGCAGTAACTTATTCTTGTAAACTTATCTACGTACCGTTTCCTTGTACCTATTCAGTAAAACCGCAGACCGATAACTCGAGAGGACCGCTAATCGCGATACGAAACGGCGTGGTCGAGTATTTATTACCTATTGGTGCACCAGATGTCGCCACTACTAACTAATTTGTTTTGCATTGACGAGCCGCAATTTATCAAAGCAACCTAATTTCTAATGATAACAAACAAATCAACTAGATGGCGCTTATTATTATTATTATTATACACAAATGTTTACGTATACTGCCGGCTATTCTAGTATTTTATTTAGGCCACTTATCTACAGGGTGTAACAGCAAGGTGTAGTCATATTTGAAGGTCGGATTCAGTTAATGGTATGAAACTATTTAGCAAAGTTGTTTTAGTACAAACTACGTTATTTATGGAAATTTCGCCATGAACAGTTTCGATCAGCTGATGTCATTTAACGAAAATAAATAGTCACATCACATCTCTATTGAGTATCATAATACAACCAAATTACGTAACTTGAAAAAATTGTGAAATTCAGGCATGTTATTGTAAATGATAAAGTACTTAATGCCATATTCTTATTACTATGTTATAATTTACTAAATTTATTATTATTTTATTCATGTAATATGCGTGTGAACATTTAATGAAAAATAAATATTATCGATTACTTTGCCAAAATACACTAGTTCATAATAAAACTATTATTTAAAACTTAGTACATAATAACGTAATATGGTTTCGTTAACTTCATATCTTCAAACATACAAAATACACAAATTTCCATTTAATATCCATTAATAAAACTAATGTCCTCTAAAAAACACATATTTAAAGTTATCTCTGTTTCTTTTTACCATACGCATTCATCTATTGTATTTTAATGAATGAAATTTGTCTCTTTCTATCCGTCGGTACTGTTCTAACGCATGGCGGCGTCGGTATGTTTCTTCTAACGCATGACGCAATATGACGCAATTATCCGACTAATACTTCGCACCCTTACAATGAAAGCGACCCAAATCAAAAAATTAAAAAATGAGTTTATACCGTAAAACCATCTTAAAAAA